CAGTGGTGCCCAGCGACAGGACAAGGGGCAACGGGCACAAACTGAAGCCGAGGAAGCTCCAGCTGAACCCGAGGAAGAACTTCTTCCCTCTGAGGGTGACGGAGCCCTGGCCCAGGCTGCCCAGAGGGGCTGGGGAGTCTCCTGCTCTGGAGATATTCAAGACCCATCTGGACAAGGTCCTGTGCAGCCTGCTGTGGGTGACCCTGCTTCAGCAGGGGGTTGGGCTGGGTGACCCACACAAGTCCCTTCCAACCCCCAACATTCTGGGATTCTGTGAAGCCGATCTGCGGACCTCACCAGCACCAGCAAGTCATCAATGTCTACACCCTGGATCTGCCATCACCCTGCGTGGTGGTTACCAAATCTTGCCAAGTTCTGATCTTTTGAGATGGAACGCCCTGTTCGCGTGGTCAATGTAGCAGTCACACACTTTGGACACTGCTTTCTCTGAGAAGCCCAATGCAGCCCACAAAATGTTAGCAGAAATAACAGCATCTTCTGCGGACTAATAACGATCGATTCTTTTCGAGGCTGAGGAACTGCACAGAAGAAGTGCACAGAAGGTAGAGTAGAAAAGCAAGAAAGAGGATTTGATCCCAACTTTTGCTTTTAAAATAAATTATTCAGACTAAAACCAGCAACAGACAGAAGTCCTGTTCTAGCAGGCCTGGCAATATTACAACAAGCAAACATGTTCTCTTGATGCTTAAGTGATGCAGCTTTTTGGTCTTGTGCTTTAGACACTTACGTTCCACCTGAAGACCATCTGCATGGGGTTTGCTTTTGGGTTCCTGGCTCCCAGGTTTTGCATCGTCGTCATCCAGCAGAGGAACGTAGTCTGTTTTATCTACTGTTTCACCAACCACATCGTCGAATTTCTCCGCTTCCAGAGTGGCAATGAAGTCCCTTTTCACTTCTTCCTCAATCTCAGGAGGTGGCTCTGTCAGAGCATCCGCAAGACTGAGGTTGTGATCCAAGTCAGCCATGCTTTAGCACCTTTGCGACCTGAAAAGTGACATGGGGAAGAAAAAAAAAGAAACATGACATTTTAATAAGAGATTAAAACATCAGTTCCATGCTGACAGCGATGTGCCTCCTGTGCCATGACCCAACGAGAAACATTTCCTTCGGCGCTCAGTAATTCCCAGATGTTTACAGCCAGCTACGCCGTCTAAATCGGGTGTTACTGCATGAACACTGCATTCCATGTGATGTTTTATCAGAACCTTCAAGGAAAAAGAAAAAAACCCTAGTACCTGGCCAGCATAAACACAATCTCCAACTGATTTCTGCCTTGCCCCAGATCTGTGAGTTAATTACATCTCCTCAGCAGCAGAAAGACAAATGACGCAAGCGAATCCAGTTCGCGGGTTGGACCCCACCCAGCCTCCCCTACGGCGATCAGGATTTTACATAATCTCTGATGTCTACTTCAGCGATGCTTTTGATCCCTGGGATAGGGTCCTGCAGCACGTTTGCGTCCTCAGAGAACCTTGCCAACACCAACGAACCCTGGCCCTGGGACTTGTGCTGGAAGGTGAAGTTCTAACAATGCTTACACGGAGGAGAAGAGTGAAGCACACACATACACATTACATACACATTCTCTCCCATCACATCCTCCTAGGGAAGCTCAGGAGGTGTGGGCTGGGTGAGTGGTCGGTGAGGTGGATCGAGAACTGGCTGAATGGCCGAGCTCAGAGGGTTGGCATCAGCAGCGCTGAGTCTGGTTGGAGGCCTGGAACTGGTGGGGTTCCCCAGGGGTCAGTACTGGGCCCAGTCTTGTTTAACTTCTTCATCAATGACCTGGATGAAGAGTTAGAGCGTACCCTCAGCCAGTTTGCTGGTGACACCAAACTGGGAGGGGTGGTGGACACACCAG